AATAAATCAATCCAAATTTCTTTGTGGGCTGTGATTAAGAGAGATAGAGATGAAACTTTACTTTTTATAACATTTATAGATAGACTCATGCATTTCAGATATGCCTCTAATTTTCTTAAATTGAAGATATTGGATTGGTTTAGACTTTTCTAAAGTCGAGTAGAAAACCAGATTGTGGAAGTGAAGACTTTGAGAACTATCTGATGGCGTGAATCTCTATCACGAGATATCAATGATCTATGTAATGAAAGATATTCTTATTTGATAGACTATTCCTTAATCACCAATAACTATTTGGTGTATTTAATTGAATGAATGAAATATTGCTTAATATAATGAGGTTAGAAATATATAGTTCAACTTACGTATTTACTTTTGGAAAGAGTGTTGGCTAAGTACAATTTATTAGTTAATGGAGTTCTCTCAATGTTGGTACCTTGAGAATATATAAGTTTTGGACATGTAGACAACCAAATATGGGTTATCATAGACTCATAATAGATTATACATGTTCTCGATAATGAATTCAGGAACATGAGTCTATTAAGAATGAGATGTGTCTTGATAACATACATGGAGTCTAGAAAAGGGTACTTAAGTGAAATTTTTTATAGATATCGTGTCACAAGATGTGACATTTGATATTTTTCTCAGTAAGGGAGAAAAGATTGGAGAACATAGTTGAGATTGATATTATAAGTATTGATGAATTAGTTTTGAATATACAAGAGTTAATTCAAACTTCTGATTCAGGTGGGAGTAATCTATTTTCGAGTTGGATCTATCTATCCAAGTGGGAGCCATCTAAGAACTATCTAATTTCTATGACTTTTGATTTCGAGTGGGAGCTAAGATCTATTTAATATCAATTATTCTTAGTTTCGAATGGGAGCTAAGATCTATTTAATGTAAATGATTTTTGGTTTAGAAAACCAATGGAGAATTTTGAGGAAAGTGATGAAAGTATATATATGGAGTATAGAATTTTAACCTAATCTGGAATATGGTAGAATTTCTATTTGGACATTATGTTTTTTGAGAACATTCAGATTCTTGAAAACTAAGTGGAAGACTAATGAGTTTCTGATAAATAACTCTTATCTCTTTGAAAAAGGGGTATACTCAATATGTGTCTATTGAGTTAGATAGAAATTTTTTCATAACAATAGGATTTGTTTCTGTACAGCTATACTTGCCATATTAGTATGTTTAAATTTAGAGTTACACCTAATAGATCTAAAGACTGTATTTTTATTCTTAATTGAGAAATGATTAAAGAGATTAACATGAATCGTCATGTAAATTTCATGTTAAAGGCTTTTTTTAGTATTGTGGTAACTTTATAGTTACATGCATGGTCTAATACTAACATCTTGAGCGTCGTACTTTAGTTTTTAACAGGGTTAAATCTCGTACAAGAATTTCATCATATGGAAGAAAATTACTGTATTTTTATAAAGGTCTGTTTGATGGTAAGTTGTAATTCTAATTCTGATATTACAGTGGATTAGTTAAGCATGAAAAGGAATGTATAGAGACCATTTTGAAATAATTGTCCTCGATCTTTGAGACAAAAGATGTAGGTTTAGCAAATTGTATGATTTGTGTTAAAAAGATTATTCAAGAATTCTAGCTCTATCACAAGAGTTTTATACTATAAAAGCCCATGTAGAATTGCTACCCTATTGATATTCCTATATCGGAAGATGATCATATAAGTCTTCATAAATGTCAAAAGACTCCAAAAATGCACAAAGAAATATTCAGAGAACCATATTTAGGAGTTAGGAGACAGAAATATACTATGACGTATACTTGCCATAACATTGGTCATGCCATGGATCTAGTCAATAGGTATCAATATTATCTTTAAAAAATGTATTGTGATACATGAAGGGTGTTACTGTCAGTTATCCTATTTCGTTGCCAAAGAAATAAGTTGTGATTGGAATAGATATACAATTGTCGACTAAGAATGAGAGTAAGTCGAGCACAATTAGTTATTAGTCTTGTGCACTCTTGCTATATAGTTTAGCAAGAAGCATATATTGTAATGCATATCTTGGCAGGTAAAGAAATTATTTGGTATAGATGTATTGAGTATCTAATGATACTGGTTAAGAATATGAGATCCATGATAGTTATGCAACTATTTTATATGTTAAGATCTCAAGTATCAAGACGGAACTAAACACTTTATGGTATATCTGTAAGAGACATTAGCGAAGAAAGTGTCTTTGCTATATATCTACATAAATGATAATATGTAATCTGAAGATGTTTAGAGACATTTTTGTTGGTAACATCGAGTCTCTATAATTTCGTAGAATATGATACTTAGTGTATCAGAAAACTCTTGATTGAGTTTTGTGTGCCCATAAATAAACAATTTTGAGTTCATGTGTAATCTAATGTTGGGATTACGAGATAAATGATTTGTATGCGCATATAAAGTATGTCGAACGAGTTGAAATTGACTTACTCAAACGAGCAATTGCCTCAGACACTTTGAGATGTGCTAAGATGAGACACAGTGATCATGTTGTGTACATGATCCAGTCGCCTTGATAAGATATTAATATGAGATTACAATAAGTAATGAAAATGAATTTGCTATCTATTAAACCTGTTTAGTAGCCAAATCGAGTTCCTAAGATTGCCTTGAGGAATGAACACAAGGAGAACAGAAGTTAGGTATTAAAAAATAAATGAACTAGGATCTTACGGTGTTATTTGTTTACAAAGAATATGACATATACCTTAAGAAAGGGAGAAAACTTTGTAGCACGTGTTTCATACCATGTGAGTTTTATGATCAATATTGGGTAAATGAGTGAATGAATCCCTGCTTCCTCATTATGTGAGACCCTGAAGTTTTTATAACCTCATATATACCCTTATGACTTTTGACTATTTATTGATATTTTATTTCAGTGTTGCTACTTTAGCATGTTGCCAATAACTATGATTGATTCAGTTTGATGGGGGCATGTTTAGAAAAGCAGTTGATTTAAAATTGAAGGATTCAAGTAGGAAAGAAAAACTATTTTGGCCAACATTTATATTTGTATTCACCGGCCAGACAATTGTGTTGAACCATTTAGGGTATAGAACACAACTGTGAATACAATGATGCGGTGTAGGGTTCAAGTATGTTCTATAAAATATTTGAGGGATTGGAAATACTTGAATTAATGTTGGAACATGAGTTTGGGGTATAATGAGATGTGATGTTCCTCTAATAGAGTTACTATATATCTCTAACATGTATATAGTACTATAAGCTCTAATATTACTCACTGGTTGCACGATCTATTTGCCGTATAAATCTTTGTGATATAGATCTTGAGAGGATCTAAGATGTGGCATTTGTTGTCGCTTGTGGTTCGGATCAACCCTATCACAGCGAGTGGGAGATGTTGAAAATACGGATAATGGGTTGCCCATGTAGGGTGACCCGACCTGCAAAATTTCAAAAAGGGTAGGAAGGAATGATTTGAATTTGGAATTCAAATCTACAACTTCTCATAATCTTTTTTTTAACTCCTATACAAACTTCCATTGATGATGATATGAAAAATGTGAACAAAAAAGATGGCATGAAAAAGATGTGAAAATTCGTATGGAAATTGACACCAAAATTGAAAAGTCTCTAGAACCATATTTTTGGCATGAAATCTCACAAAAATGATACTTAGATTGTGGTAATAATTCCCTTCCATTGTGATTTGGATTGGAACCAATGGAGAACAAGAAAATGCAGATTTTGGAGCTTTGGAGTGCAAGGTGATTCAACCACACAAAAATATCTTGGAATTCATCATTTCAAGTAAGTTTCTTGACCTGAAATTCATGTTAAAGTATGCTACAAATTCCTAGACTTTTAAATGATTTATGGGCGGACTTTTAACTGATTTATACTTTATAGGCTTTAAATCTGTTCTCCTTTACTTCTTACTATTCATGAATTTTGTAAGTGAACCCACAATATTAGCTCTTAACTTTATATAATCAATCTAGATAACTCTGTATGATAAGATTAAGCCCTTGTTTGGGCTTATTTTTTATGAAGTTTTGGGAAAAATATATTTTGGAATAGTATTTTTTGAGAAATGTGTAGTTAAAAAAGAAGGAAAAATCTGTAGTTGAAAAAGAAGAAAAGAATGTATTAAAACTAAAATGAAGCCCAAACAAAAGCTAAGTATCAACGATATTATGTCTACAATATGTATTTGTGTTTTGAAACGGAGTCATAATAGATCAAGAAAAGCCGAAAAAATAAATAAATAAATAAATAAAAAGCCCAATGAGTGGGAACGTGGCCTTTTGCGATTTACAGACCACAGCCCAGATCGTCCAAACATGGGTACCCAGCAGACCACAATTCAACCATGGTTGCGGTTGAACCACGATCCCACAACTATTAATTTCGCTTTATTTGGTTCCAAAATGTAGTTTTTCGTGCGGGTTTGGTCCTTTTTTAATTTTATGTCCAATTTTGGTCTTTTTATCCCAAATTTCAATTTGATACGAAACTTTAAAAATATTCTAGTAGTCCCCAAAACTACATAATAGTATGAAATAGTTGCTCAAAATTTTGAAAAGTGTGCAATTTAGTCCCAAAACTTTTCAAAAGTTGAAATTCAATCCCAAAACTTTTTATTGCTCTATTAATACTTCTTCTCATCCAAATCGGTTACTCTATATTAAATTAATTAAAAATTTACACAAATATATCCAAGTCGAATAACATAAATAAATACATAAAAACACACTTATCAGTCAATTGTTGAAAAACGTTGAAGACCCTATTTATATATATTTTCCTACATTAAAGCCTTGTAGAAATTATGACTAATCTTAAATCAGATCCTTCTTTAACGGCTTGAAGACGTTTGGCATATTCTAGGGTTTCCCTCAGTACAGTTGTCAAACCAAGTGAACACTATGAAACTACCGGAACCTATACTTTTGGGTCGCAGCATGACTAGGGAAATTTCTGTCCATCCAGAAATCCCTACTGACTCAATATATCCTCATCTCGTTAATTTGTCCCTTTCTATATATATTATATGCTGTTTTCATCTATACATATAATATTGGTAAGATAGAAAATGTACAACGCAGTTCGATCAATTAGGATACTACCACCAACGGCAGCTGTTTTCTCTTCAAAGTTGCCAAATAACATCAGCAGGATAATTTGTGGAGTCAGATTTGCACAAGCCATGTCAGGGCCTAATCAACCTCAGAGCACTGAGAAAATAGACCAGTCTCAGGAATCGAAAAATCAAAGAGGGTTGGTATTGAAATCTTGTTTTCCTTTTGTTTTCGTGTCATGAAATGATGGGCTTCTGTTAATCTTGATGGTATAGATAGATAGATATTTCACTTTCGAGGACGAAAAAATTAGCTAGGGTTGTGGAGGAATTTTTTAAGATAAAAAGTTTTAATCCTTCCAAGTGAAATTTCTTGTAGTGTGTATAAATATGTACCAGTTATTGAGTTTAACATGGTTTCGGAATTAGGGAAACGATTGCTTCATTTGGTGAAGGATATGCAACGAGGTCTGATGAAGAAGGATTTGGAGGAATCTATGGAGGGAACCAGTCTATTTCAAAGGAGGACGATGAAAAATTTGTTCATGGAAATGCCCCGGGTACATTCTCTTTCTTTCTTCAATCACCAACCTCCACATCTCTAAACACGCCTTATCAGATTCATAGCGCCCGGCTAAAATCTAAATTATAAATAATTAATTTTAACTACGTATTTTATGTCCAACCGCATGTTGAAATATACTAAATATCTTATTTAAATTCCCGGGCTATACTTATAATTCAGTTTGATGCTTCAAAAAAGTTGCCTAAATTTTTTTAATTTGACATTGAGTAAACTTTAGGAAAAAAATTTAATCATTATATTTGGAAACTTGAATTAAGAACTGAATATTATTATGAACTTTTTGTAGGTTTGTCTTTAGGGAACAATTTACATAATTTCAGACTTAGTTCATATATTGAAATAAAATTACTAAACTGTGTCAAACATTTTTTTTAAAATTAAAAATTAAATATTCAAAAATAAATTACAGTTCTTTGAGATCCTTTACGCCAGCGTATTCAAGGTTTTCGTTTTCCATTCTTTATAACCTAAGTTTAGAAAGAAATAAAAAATAAAAAAAATGTTTTGTCACAAATTTGTTTTTGATTATCTTAAAATTAAGATATTTTTTGTATTGATGACTGAAGTCTGGATCATTTGTTTACGATGAAGAATACGACAAATCTCAAGGGAGTGAAGTGAAGGAGAAGGAAAGAGCTCGAAACCAGAACAAAGTTGAATCGTAAAGCTAAGGGACCATTTCTGTTTAATTGAAGGCCAAAATTACATTAATTTCCTTTTATTCTTTTTTTCCCTTTAACCAGAATGATGGGCATTTTTAGGGTAAAGTTTAATTTCTTATAGTAATAAAAAGATTGTAATGAATAAGAGGATTTTAGACGTCTAATTTCCACTTTCACTTGGTCCTGAGGGGACACATTCATTTGTACCGTTTTATTTATTTATTTATTATTTTAAATTCTTTGAGAATGCCTGACGTTTGCTTTACAAGTGGTTAATATTACATTTGTATATGTTTAAATATTTAACCTAGTTAATTGCATTTTTGGCATAATATAGTTTATTACAACAGACGAACAAAAGTTTTTTTTTTTTCCCGAGTCTTGTAAGAACTATATTTATAATTTTACATCAGATTTTGAGAAGTAACAAATTGCTGTTAGTTTTCTTAATGATCTATAATTAAACTATTGATCGGTATTTTATTTTTTTTATTTTTGTCTATAAAAGTTTAAATGTTAAATTTGAAATATATGTATTTTTTTTTCGGAAAATGTTTTCTAAGTATTAATTTATTTTTGTAGCTAGTTATATGTGATCCACGAATTTATAGGCACGGAGCGATGCGAGAGGAAAAGGGCGTGTGTCTTTTGTTTAATCAGAATGATTAGGCTTTCTCACGCATTTCTAGGGTAAAGCTTCTTAGTAATAAAGAGATTGTAATCGATAAAAATGTTTTTGGACTTCAAATTTCCACTTGCCACTTGGTCCCGAAGGGACACATTCATTTGTATATATATTTTTCGCTCTTTGAGTGCGTGACATTAATATAAATGAATTTACGCCTATAAGTTCTTAACAAGTTGTTAATATTACATTTGTATATGTTAAAATATCTAATATAGCTAATTGCATTTTTGCCTGTTACACTATTTATTGCTTCAGAACAGTGTGATATTATTTTCAGTACTCTAAGAGAATATTGATTTATTGTTTTTGAAGAAGCACTAATAAAATGTAACGTGCTCTTGAAATAGCATATATATCGAATAATATATATCTTATTGTATTCCTAAGGAAATTCAAATTAAACAATTCTTTTAAAGAAAACTAATTTTCTATATTATTTCTATTCAAGAAGAATTTGATATATGCTCTTGAAGAGCATGAATTATAATTTTTAGTATTTCAGAAGATATTGACATATTGCTCTTGAAAAAACAATAATTAAAGATAATATGCGCATGAAGTAGCATATTTTTGAAAAATATATCATTTTGAATTCATATTTACCTTTGAAGGAAAACACATAACTAATAGTATGAGAACATTGATTAGTTTAACTATTTGAATGATATATGATTATACAAGCTTTAATCGTAGTCTTATAAATTAAATCAAATTATATTTTATATTGAACCATAAGTTCAATTAGAGCTTATTGTTGGCTTGACTAATTAGATCATCACTGGATTAATAATAATATGACATTAAACATTCAAATGGATATTTAATGAAGAACTAAAAGATTCTTCAATTCAATCATATATGATGTTTTTTCATTAAAAATTTTCTTCAACCATTACTACCTAAAATAGGGACTAAATTTCCTATATTTCTTAAAATTAATTAGGGTGATAAATGGGCATCCCATATATATACACACACACACACACACACACTAGATGAAATTAGTGTTTGCAGCCTGAGATATACGAAAGTACTACTCAAATTCTAAATTATGGGCATAATATTCAGATTATATAATCAAGACTATGTCTTATTAATGCTAACGGGCATAAATCTTAATATTTTAATAAGTGTTAGTTGCAATGTCAATAAATAATTTTAACACTATTGTTTGTTAAACATTTTCAATTAATTTAATTGAGAACAAAATACTTCCCATTTTTTGTTTATGGAATTCTGTTACACATCATGCGAAAATTATATTTCTTCCTATTACAATTAGCTTATAGTCAGAGTCTAATTTTTCTACCTAACTATTTTGATAATGCAATATATGTAAAATTGAACCATCATAATGCACTGAGATGACAAATAAAGAATGCTAAGAATAAATGCGTAGTTTGAACCCCTATTCCAAATGGATAATATTTTTATAATGCTAGAAAAATGATTGTTAACTTGATTGGACAATTCTCTCTAGTATTAGGGGAAGAATTAAAAAGTTGAAAATAATGTAGAAATGTATTATCATCTAAATCCTCACAAAATATCATTTCAACCAGAAATTCGAAAGATAATTTATTTAGATACATTTATTGTTCAAAGAAATAAACAACATTTCATACACCAGTTTTAAATACTCTAACACAAATTGACGTCTTATGAGGATAATTTATTTGCATTATATTTGATATATCTATGACATGCTTGAAGCATGACTGTGTTCGATTATAATACAAAAAATCTTCAAACGAAAATGGAGCAATTAGAAAAGATGGTCTCATTAAGGAGACATATACTCTTGATGAGCATTTAGACATAAGAAATTATAATACTCCAGATGAGGTTTAGAATTTGAAATAATAAAACTTGAGATATATCTCAATAAGTTATGTCATTATGAGAACATAAATAGAAAAAATTGACGCACGTGGTATAATCGACTTAGCGAGTATTTGTTGAAGGAAGGCTAGAAAAATGACGATATTTGCCCATGAGTTTTCATAAAAGAAAATAATTATTGTATTTGTAATAGTGGCAGTTTATGTTGATAATTTAAATTTAATTAAAACTTCTGAGCTCAACAAAACTATTTGATTATTTAAAAAATGAATTTGGGATTAAAAATTTGGAAAAAAACCAAATTTTATCTTAGTTGCAGATTGAACACTTACCAAAAGGATTATTATCATCAATCTATATATACAGAAAAATTCTCAAAACATTTTTATATGAATAATGCACATCTATTGGTATCACCTATAGTTGTTCGATTACTCGATGTGACAAATATCCATTCTATCTACTTGAAGATGGATAAAATGTCTTCGGTCCTGAAGTAACATACCTTAGTGCAATTGGATCATTAATTTATCTTACAAACTGAACTTGACCCGGCATAGTTTTTCTGTAAATTTCCTTGAAAAATATAACTCTACATTAACTCAAAGACTTTGAAATGATGTTAAACATATTTTTCGTTACTTAAAAGGCACTATTGATTTGGGATTATAATATTCTCAAAAGTTGGGATCCGATTTAGGGGGTATGCATATGCATGTTCTCTCTCTAAACCACATAATGCTAAATTACAAACACGATATATGTTTATACGTGAACGAACAGTCATATCATGGAAATTTGTGAAATAATCCTTGATAGCAACATCCTTAAATCATTCCGAAATTATTGTAATCCATGAATAAGGTAGAGAATGTGTATGGTTGTGGAACATGACCCATCATATCCAAGCATCATGCGGGTTAACTTCAACAAAAGGCTGTCCAACAATCTTTTATATAGACAATACAACCTGTATTGCACAATTCAAATGAGGCTATATCGAAAGTGACATGACGATCTTGTATATAGACAATGCAATTTGTATGTACAATTCTCCAAAATTCTTTTGTACATATGAATTTCAAAAGAAAGATGACATTGTTGTCCAATAAATTCGCTCAAGTGACAAGGAGGTCGATTTAGTCATGGAGCATTGCTGACATCTATATTTAAGAAATTGATTCATGAGATTGGAATGCATTGACTCAAAGATTTTTAGTAATCAACATTAGATGGAGTAGCTGTACTTTCTTTTCTTCATTTAGGTTTTATCCCACTAGGTTTGCCTAGCAAGATTTTAATGATGTAGCATTTATTTTTAACACTCCAAAATAATTGTACTATTTTTTCCTTCATTTAATTTCTTTTTAACTCATTGAATTTTTATCAAACAAGGTTTTAATGAGACAGATATTTTGGATTGTTTCGTTCAAGGGAAAGTGTTGTAAACGGTAACCTTATGAGTGAATGACAATTGTACCCCGAAACCTTAAAAATTATTACCATTATATCCCTGATTCTTCCCTATAAATATAAGACTTCGGTTCTTAATAAAATACATACAAGTCTATTGATTTTACTTTCTCTTCTCTTTTTTCTCTCTTTCATAACAATAAGCATATTTTTGCAATGGTAGTAATTGGTTGTATTAAAGTATAATAATATTAAATTAGAAATAATATTGTCACATGATTAATTGTTCTATTTCTATTTCACTCATTTGTTAGATGTTACAGTGAAACAAAAATTATCAAAGTTAAAAGCAATAAAAACTTCTATATCAAAAGAAATATTAGAACAAGATGAAGAAATTGTTAGTAAATCGTCAGATCTAACACTAAGCGTAAAAAAGTGTCAACATCAAAATCAAGGAATCACACCTACCTCTAGATTGGGTCCTTGTACTTAGGGAGTTTCCTTCGATCTCAAAAACACTATACACAATGTAGGAGCAAATTTAAGCTTTCCCAAAATATCATTAATCACTCTTAGAGTGATTATTTTTGTAGCCACAACTCAATGTACCACTAAACATAAAAAAAAAGTCACGAATGAAAAATAGAAGAGGAGATGAAGTGAGAGAATTTATATGGAGAGACAACATCAAAATAGTGGTGCAATGTCACACATGATTGTAATTGTTGCTCTTTTGCATATGGAGTAAACCACTTGAAGAGTTATAGATCGATAATGCACAATTAGAAACGTGACTTAATTTGGTGAAAGACAAGTTTCTCTAGAAATTTGTGTGTTATTAAATAGAATCTATTGTTGAACAAAGTTGAGAAACGAAAATAAAATCAACAACAAGGAATAGCTAAAATGAAAAGTTTGAACATGATTACGAATCGCTGTCATCAAATGATATTTGTCGCCATTGGGATAAGTGTTTGAAGACTTTATGACAAATAGTTTGTAGGAGTAAACAAACCTTAATCCAACTTGAATCAAGCAAACAAAACTTAGAGAAAGGAACTAAAGAACAAAATATAAAAACACTTAGATTTTAAATATAATGGAGTCAATTTGATGTTTGTCATATAATTTCTATTATAAATACTACTCATACATACAGAATTACAATCACAATGCATGAAAAGGTGCAATAATCAAGCCAAAAAGATGTAAAACCCTTCAAAACGATACCGGAATTCAAAACCCGAATGGGCAAATTTTTGTTCTGGATGGGCGTCCTTCTAGTACCAAACAAAA